AGCAGACTTACCTAAAGCAAATCTCTGCGAATGGTCAGAGTTTCTATTTGTCTTGTCAGTCTTTGACTTTTAGACTTGATGTCATGAGTCAAATTGTTCCTTTTCTGGAGGCAATGAGTTTTGCTGATGTAATTTAGGACTAATTTTTGTCACTTTTGTTGATGCTTTTTCAGACAACATCTTTGTTGTTTTTAAAATGGTTTTTCAGATAGCTAATATTCTGAAATTCTTAAATGATGTCATTATTCCCATATTATTCAGACTAGTATCTTCATCCTTGTTGTTTTTATCACTATATATAGATTTGTTCTTCATCATCAACATCTAATGTTCAGAGATGAATGCTATTAATTCCCAGTTATTCAAAGTAGTATCTTTATCCTTGTTGTTTTTATCCATATTTTTCAGCTGGTGTTATATTTCGCCTTCTTTAGATGTATAGATTATCCAGTTGATTTGTCACTTTTAGACTTTTAGATTTGGTTGTCATGGATTCTTGCAGGCAGTGTATTCACACTGTTTTTTTCAGTTGATTGATTCTACATCTTATCAACTCTTTGCAGGTTATTTAAAGCCAGAAAATATTTTTAGATTGTAAGAATTTTTTAAATTTTTTGAGTGGGAGACAATAATGATTTAGTGATACAAGTTTTACTAATTAACCCATAGCTGGAGGCCAAGGGCATTTGTATGTAAGTGAATATAAGAAAACTAATTGGATTTGGAATTCGGCTCTCCAATTAACAATTCTGAACCATTATCCATTACCCCATCTGCACATCCAAGCTTACAGCACCTGGTATTCTCAAGTGGTCACCCATCTAGGTACTGACCAGGTTTGACATTGTTTAACTTCAGTGACCAATATCAATGTGATATGGCTGTAAGCTTAGTAATCACTCTGAAAACTTCCTAGTGAAATGTACCAAGTAAAACTAATTGTAACGGGGTAGGTAATGTTGGGTGTTGAAGTGTTATTTTCCCCAAATGTTATTATTTGTTGACAGTAATGGGGTTGATATTAATGACAGAAATTAAAATGCATAAACGTGCAATGATAACAACAACAAAAACTTGAGGCACATGTTGACATGAACAGCAAGAATCTGTATTTTTTTTTGTTGTGATGTGAATTACAGAATATTGGTATGGTGTGTATAAAAATGTCCTCAGTGTCTCTTTTGTTTAAAAGTCAGTGCTTGGTTTGGTTCTGAGAATTTCGTTTGTGAGGATGCATTTGAAATCATCTGTTTTTGATCTTCCTGGAGTGCTGGCAGATGTGTGTTTTTGTACTGCTACTTGTCTACTCATAACTGACTACTGCTATGGGTACCCTAGTCTACACTACTGAGTCTCTTGTGGTGGAAGGGTTGTTTTTATAATGATGGGAGTAGGATGATGAAATATCCTTCTTTTCTATCATCACTGAGGGCAAGGTTATTTTTAGAATAATGAAATATCATCATCATTCTAGACCATAACGTAATATTCACCCTGCAAAAGAACTTGATGTAATTTTGGAACATCTGGTTGAATATGTAAGCGATGATGAAGTTGCAGAGAAAATGGAAACAAAAACAAATACCTATACTTAACATCAAGAAGCGACAGTTGAAATTTCTTGGGCACTTAATGAGGGAGGTCTCTGAAAATTTGATACTCACAAGACAGACTGAAGTCAAGAGTAACAGACGAAAACAACATATAACCTACCTAGTGAGCTTGAGTAAATGGATGACAGAAAAAGGTTTTAGGAGAGATAACAAAAAGATGAAATTTATTAAGAGTTACAAAAGACAGGAAACTGTGGAGAGCCATGATTGCCAACATCCTGAAAGGACATGGCATGATAAATATTCTTCTTATGGTCATTATGTTTAGGAGAGATAACAAAAAGATAACATTTATTAAGAGTTACAGAAAATTGTGGAGAGCCATGATTGCTCACATCCTGAAGGGACACGACACATAGAAGAAGAAGAAAGAGCTTGAGTAAATGGATGATGGAACAAGGTTTTGAAGAGATAACTAAAAGACAAAATTTATTCAGAGCTACAAAGGACAGGAAATTGTGGAGAGCCATGATTGCCAACCTTCTGAAAGGACATGGCACATAGAAGAAGATTGAGTTTGAGTAAATGGATGGCAGAACAAGGTTTAGGAGAGATAACAGACAAAATTTATTAAGAGCTACAAAGGACAGGAAATTGTGGAGAGCCATGATTGCCAACGTCCTGAAAGGGACACGGCATATAGAAGAAGAAGAAGAAAGAGCTTGAGTAAATGGATGATGGTACAAGGTTGAGGAGAGATAACTAAAAGACAAAATTTATTAAGAGTTAGAAAGGACAAGAAATTGTGGAGCGCCATGATTGTTCACATCCTGAAGGGACACAACACATAGAAGAAGAACAAGATTGAGTAAAACGGAACACTAAAAGACAAAATTTATTAAGAGTTAGAAAGGACAAGAAATGGATGATTGTTCACATCCTGAAGGACACAACACATAGAAGAAGAACAAATTGAGTTTGGGAGAGATAACTAAAAGACAAAATTTATTGAGTTAGAAAGGACAGGAAATTGTGGAAAGTAATGATCACCAATGTTCTGAAGAGACACAGGATATAGAAGAAGAAGAAACATTCCTGGGCTAACATTATACTTAATTCTTTATTGGTTTTGATTATGTAGAGTCATTGTTTTATTTTATTTGACCCAAAGAGTTGCGAGTTCAATACCTGGCCACAGCAGAGGTGAATAAAAAACTTGGAGAGTAACAAAAATAAAACTGCCTTGGAAACCACAGTAACTTGAAGAACAAAAATGCCCATGGGACCAACTTCACAAGACACTGTGCCCTGCCGACTGCTAACTAGTGGTTTTCCCCTGCTTTTATTGGCATGAGGCATCTTACAAAGACTCGGATCTTGACAGTTGAAAAGAGGCCCATATCTAGACATGCCAAGCTGTTCTGCTAATAACTGAAAAAATCTGGATATAACTGATGTTGACAAACATGTCTGCATGCAATCTGAGGCCTCTTTTGCATCTGCCACAATTTTGTCATTCTATGGCACTAGGAGCATTTAATTTTTATATACCCCCCCCCATAAATCACTTTTGATTGTATTGAAAAAGAATGCATTAAAGATATCTTGCAGTTGATGTTTATTGCTTCCAACAGTGAAGATGAAAAGAAATAAAAATAATCAACATTTTGGGAATAATTTCCGTCTGAATTTCTGGGATGAGGAGTTATCATTATTTATACTATTTACATTTGTACTATTGTCCTCATCTTAGTTGTTATTATCATTATCACCTGATCACCTTCTGCCTGAATTTCTGGGATGAGGAATTATCATTATTTATTCTATTTACATTCAGACTATTGTCCTCATCTTTGTCGCAGCAGCAGTTAAAACATGACAAGCAGCAGCACTAATCAACAGGCAGGTTAGGTTTAAGGCTCCAAGTTCACAGAGAATTGTCTTAGTGGTTTAAAGTGTTGGTTCATGAATTTAGTGAGATAGAAATTGTGAGTTTATTCCCTATGCAGGGTAGTGTGTACTTAGACTCAATGGAAACGTTCGAGCAATAACTTTTTTTTTTATAGAGCATTTCACCCCAAGCAAGGCAGGAGTGCCACTAGCACACAAGGGGTTACAGAGAGTGAAAGTGAGAGAAAAGACTGTGTATAGAGGGGATTGAGGAAAGAATAAAAGAAGAATGGGGATCAAGACACAGAAGATGGCAGTTGATGTTGCATTTAAATTTTTGAAAGACTGTAATTATTAAGGAAGCAAGTTAAGAGGAAAGGAGTTCCACCATCATGAAGTGCGAGAAAAGAAACTGCTGGAGTAGAAGTTGTGGCTACATTTAACTATTTCAACAGTAAAAGGGTGGAACCTAGATTCCAATCTAGTAGCACGCTTAAATTCTGAGCAATATTAAAAATAAGAACTATACAAGATATCTCTCTAGACATACATAGGCTGTGAAATGAGAACAGTCTGCTCCTGTAAATTTAATAAAGGGTTCAGTTTGGAATTTCCTGTAGGTTACCCAGATTGATATATACCTGATGAAAGTCTTAGGGCACAACAGATGAAATGTTACGATAACAACATAATTGAGAACAATGTTCTGAATGAAAGTAGTGTAAATAATTTTATGAATATTATTCTTTTTCTTTTTTCCTTTTAAGAAAGGTAAAAATGTAACTCGAATATCAGAAATGATTTCAACCTGTTCATAAATGAAGGAATCACAGGTAAAAAAGCTCAACAAGAGTATTTTGTATAACTTTTATTAAATCTTGTTCAAATTCTGTCTATATCTCTGAGATGAGGTATTATGATAATTTGCATTATTCAGACTGTTATCCTCATCTTCACTGCCATATTCACAATGTTTCGGACGCTGTACGCTCCGGCCTTCTTCAGGCGATTGGAATTGGATACATGGCCCAGTGGATAAAGATGTTGGTTAGATCAAGTGACTAGACCCAAAGAGTTGTGAGTTCAATACCAGGCCACAGCAGTTATGAACCAAAACTTGGAGGGTTGAGTTAAAGGGAAATAACTGAGGCATCCACAAGAGGCATGGCACGTGGAACTATAACAATCTACCCTGGTGGATGAAATAAATGGTTCGGTTCGAAATTCCAATCATCTGAAGAAGGTTGGAGCGTACAATGACAGAAACATTGTGAATATGACAATGAAGATGAGGATAACAGTCTGAATAATGTAAGTTGTTCAAATTACACAATAATTCCAGAAAGGGCTTCAAAAGTGTACTTTCACCATAAATTTAAATCAAAACATTAAATGGACCCATTTATAGATAAAACATTGTCCAGGAGATGAAAGTGTCAAGGATGACTTTTTTGATTACACTTTGAGTGAACAAAAAAATTGCATGTATCTCAGCATTCTATAGAAAAAAAAGGCCTGAATTATATTTAAAAAAAAAAAAAAAAAAAAATGGGGGCTTATGACCACATCATGTTGAAACAACAGTTCTCATATGATCACCAAAGTTAAGCACTGTCAAGCCTAGTCAGTACTTAGATGGATGACAGCTCGGGAATACCAGGTGCTGTAAGCCTGGATGTGCAGGTGGGGTAATGGATAATGGCACAGAATTGTTAATTGGAGAACTGAGTTCCAATTCCTATTGAGTTCCTTATATTAATTTATGTTCAAAAGGTATGGGTTAATTAGTAAGAGTTGTATCACTAAAACCATTATCTCCAAGAATAAAATATTATGTACAAAATATTTAGATTTCGGCATTAAATAACCCATAGAGTTGTTGATATGCCGCTAAACAAAAACAACCAACTGACATCTAATTGGTGTGAGGGGTTGGGGGGGTTAAATCTTGTCAAATTGTCATTTAAAAAAAAACTATTTTCATTTTTCAGACTGTTGTCCTCATCTTTGTTACATTCACAACATTTCAGCATTTGTATGCTCCAACCTTCTTCAGGGAATATTTGTTTAGTCCACAGGGTAGATTGTTCTAATTCCACATACTATGTCTTTGGATATCTCATTTTTAGTTAATTGGCTTTGATAAATTTTTGTTTTTTCCACTTTTTAGAGATGTGTGTGTATGTATGCGTATTGGGAGAAATGGGTAAACTGAGTAGAAACTACATTTTCAGGACAGTAGAGTACAGACATGTGGTGATCTAGTAACGTGTGACACCTTTGTAACTGGCCTAATGTTGTCTAGAATGTGCCATTACCTCTTAGAGAACAAGACTCTGGACTTACAGCCTGCTTATAACCAGGTTTCTTCTTTAGAATTAGTACAACATCAATTGGAATCTTATGAAGCTACCCCATAGACAGGTTAGTGTGGCTGCTGAAGATGAAAATGAGGAATCCATGTTTGTTGCTGTAAGATGATGTCAATTTTCCAAATCAAGTGGGTCATGTTATTTTTTTTTTTTTTTTTTTTTGTGGTAGACAAATGCATCCTCACCAACCTCTGCCCTGCCCAAAATGTCAAATGCCACAGATGCAAAAAGAAAATTCACTTTTCAAAAGTCTGCAACCCTGATTATCCAGAACAATGACAAATTTACGTTTGCCTGTATTGTATCTTCATTAGTTGTCTCTAAACTTGGTTGTCTCTCTCGTGAAATTTGTCATATTTTACTTGAAGAGGAAATGGGTGCTGCCAAGTAATTCTTATTGACCTGAGAAGTGCAATTGCTCTGCATAGCATCCAAACAATTTCATGGGTCCTATGTTGAAATGATGAGTTGGGAGTTCAGTTCTTGCTCTTTATTCCACATAGATTTGGATTGTACTCAGCTAGATTTCTTCTATCTAGCTTCTAAATAAATAAACGATAAATTCTGTCTGTGTTCATGTATCTGAAACACCTCTAACTTAGACCACACTTGCTCTAAATAGACATATTATACCATTTTGAAATCAGCATGATCCCGAGATTGAAAATATACCCTTCATCTGCTTCTTAAATATCCAGCATTTGGGATTTGTGTCCGGATGAGGTGGGAACTATTAAAAATTCAAATTTTAAAATAACTGAAAAAAAATTAGTGATTTTAATAGTTCTTAATTTATATTAAGTTTAAAGTAACACAAAAACTTTGTGAATTTAAAGATTTTTGTTTAAAATTCAGTTTGAAATATCTCCAAAACTTTGTGAATTGAGAAAATGAATTTTATTTCTTCAAAATACCAAGGAATCTGAGAGGTTTCATGATGTAAGGTTTTGAAGTTCCACGGAGTTTGTGATTTGAAGAACTCAATTTTCAGCCTGAATTGGAATTTCGTCCCAAATCAGGCTTTGGGCTGGAATTGGACATAGCCCAAATCAGTTACATTGAGATTTTGAAGTTCCATTAAGTGAATTTGTCAGAATTGTCATTTCTGCTTTCTAAGCTGCACTAAAGGTCTCTTTAGTTTTGGGCTGGAGGCCCAATTAGTCCTTGAGGGTGGCTTTTAAGCTAGTAGTAAATAATTTGCTTAAGTCTTTGCAGAAATGTTATATATACATCCTTTTCTTATTTTTTCTTTTTTAGTCACCACATGTTATAATTAGAGAAGATTGTAATGAAGTTAGTATGAATAGAATGTTTGGAAAAATGAGCCATACTGAATGTGGACGATGTTGAAAAATAAACTTGTCAGTTTGAAGAATAAATTTATATCATTTTCAGATCAGTTTCTTTATTCTATCTGGTCTAAAACATGTTTTATAGGACTAGAGACATCATACTTATTATAAAACCCAGGTTGTGTGTGTGTGTCTGTACGTTTATATATTGGATTGGATTTCCTACATTTTTCAACCGATTTCAACAAAACTTCACAGGACTACGTAAAATTACCTTGTGGTGGTTCTGACAGCGCTAAAAATTGGAAAAACACAATTGTTTTTGCACAAAATCAATTTGAAAACATGATTAAGAGGCATCGTGAGAATGAAAGGGGGACAACTCATATCGAGTTATACTTATAAAACCCAGGTTGTTTGAGTGTGTCTGTGTTCGTTTATATATGGGATCGGATTTCCTACATTTTTCAACCGATTTCAACAAAACTTCACTTTTTTTTTTGGTAGGTAGTGTTTCTTATTGTCTTGCACACTTTTTTTTCTTTATTTTTACATTCAGAATGTTTTAAAAATTCCATTTACAAAACAATTGTTTATAATAAAATTCTATTCAATTTGTAGACTCATACTGATTGAAAACAATGTTTTTGTTTGAGTTTGGCTTTTTCGTAAAAAAAAAACCAAAACAAAAAAAAAAAAAACTAATTAAGACATGCGTGTCCATAAACCTTAAACAATAATCTTTGTCAATTTTATTTTTCAGTCTTTATGATGGTCGATACTTGATCTATCTCTTACTGTTACATCCCCGGGCAACACCGGGCTCTACTGCTAGTTATCAATAAAACCTTGTAATTTTGGAAGGAAATAAATTTACATAATTTTGAGATCAATTTCATTATTTGGTCTGGTCTAAACCTTGTTTTCTTGCATTGAAAACCTTTCATACCCATTGTAATTTTAAATTAGAATGGCAAGGAATGAATTTCTTTCTTCTCATTTTTTTCATTGCAGATTCTGATGATGGTTCTCGGTTTAAATGGAAAGCAAAAGAAAGCATCCTGTCATTACTACGCCAAAGTGTTGGCCCTAATTGTTCCACCCCCAATTCATTTCCTGCATCGTTTGAAACCCCTCATGATTCTTCGCCTGCGGACACAGAAAATAAACCCCTGGATACCTTGGTGTACCCACTTATACAGATGGGACCATTTGGAATTTTTGATGATGAAGAGGTCACAAAGCAGTTATTACGATCAGCTTCTCGAGATGATGAGATTCTACTCGCATCCGGATACTTCAACCTTACTGACCATTATCTTCGATTAATTTTGGAAAAATCCTTTGCCAAATTCAAAATGCTAATGGCATCTCCAGAGGTGAGGCAAAATCAATTTTCTCCTGCAAAAAAGATTTTTTTTTCAATTATACATTAGTAGATTTTACACTTTTTTTAAAACTAAGGTCACACTGAACAAGACCCTGAAATTTTAAACCTACATCATTAGTCTCTTAAACAGAGACCATGTTATTTTGGTGCGTTGGGGTGGGGGTCATGGTCAGCAGAAAAAAGATTATTACTACTATGTAGTGAGTTTGATCCTCACTGGGTGCCTTGTGCTAGATAAATCTAAGGTTTGTGAATACTTAGGATACATCAACAATGGGTAGTGATTACTGAGCTAGATGGGTAATTGTTAATGTGGGATGAATTTGATCCTCAGTTGGTGCTCTAAATTTGTGGGCTTGTGCCAGATGAAGCTAAACCCATGGAAATATTTTTCATGTATGCATCATAAATTTCCTGAAAAATATAAATATAAAGTTTAAAAACATACAGAAATTGAAAAGCAGTATTTCTTGATCTTGATAATGACTCTCTTCTACAAGTATTTTCACGGCAACTGTTCCGACAAACTACTTTCACTGGTTCCCAGACTGCATGAATTTAAGCAAGCTACCTGGCATCTCGGTCCCACCCTTTCACTGTCAAAACAGTTAAATGTAACTGTCTCTTCTACTCAACTCTTGCACTTCCCTTCTGTGGAACTCCCTTCCCCTTAATTGCTTCCCGATTACTATAATCTTCAAATATTCAAGTGTGATGTCAATTGACATCTGATACCCTGAGCTTGTTCCCTGTCCTTCTCTATTGTTTCCTCAAACACGCCTCTTTACTCTTGTTCTGAATTCTCTGTAACCTCTTGCATGTTAGTGTCACTCCTGCTATTCTTGGTGTGAATTGCTTTAAAAAAAAATATGGCTGAAAGTGTTAGATCACAAACATTGAACATTATTTGGATCCAGATATGCAATTTTCTTGTATGTAAACAAGAAACATTAACTAATGATTAAAAAATAAATTCCTTTTCTAATGTGTTTAATCAAACTTGCATAAATGAAGGATTGCTACCTCAGTACATGCCTACTGTACTCTACTGTACTGATGCGGCATTCACCCTGGGCAGATTGAGCCGGCTTCTTCCTGTTATGAGAAGAAGATTCTTGGGATAAATTACAGAAGTAGGGTACCCAGGCCTACTCAGATAACGTTCTTGCTTGCCGGGGGTCCCCACAGGCGAAAGAGACAGGAACGACCAGAAGCCGCCGATTTTACGATGCAGGCGCTCCCTGGATTTTCACCAGAGCCCTTGTTAGCGGCGTGTGTGTCAGACCTGTCCGCCTTGGGTGGCCCTACCAGGAACGAAAGCATAACTCTGACACTACCGTTTACACCCCCCCACCGACTGTGAGGTAAGGGTTGGACTTTGGGGGCTTACAGTACCAGGCGTTCCCAAGCGGTCCCCCATCTAAGTACAGTCCTGGCTCTACGCTGAAAATCACGCTGAAACACCGGTTCTCGTACGATCACCGAAGTTAAGCAGCGTAGAGTACATGCCTACCGTATAAAAGATGCATGAGCATACTAGATGCACCTCTATTTCAGCAAGGTATATTCAGGAAAGACGCCAAGCATGAAATGTTTAAAGCAAGCAATCAGTACATAATAAAAAACTACTTAGTTATAACAGAAAACATATTTCTCTTTTTTAATGTCTTGTTTTGTCAGAACAGGCGATCAAGACTCTCCACAACTTCCTTTAACTTTATGAAATCACGTCCCAAGAGGATGCTTCTCACTACAAGCTTAGTAATCAGTCTAGAGTTAACTGTTACTTTCTCCCACATATCCCTATAAACTGTGCCTCTTACTCTGTAACCCCCACTTCACCTCAAGTGATTCTTGGGGATTGTACAGGGTGAGCATTATTGTAAAAAAATAACCTTGGGAAAGATAGTGGGGTGGTTTCTTATTGCTTTTTCTATAGTTTGTAATTTACGGTTTTTGGTTCTCTTAAGCTGATTGCTCAGAAAAGCTAAGAGAGCCCACTCTACCCTGCTATTATTCCAGGGTGAAGAATAGATGGATTCATGCCTTTCCTAAGGGTATTAGTGTGAAAATGAATGCACCAGGAATTAGAACTTGATTTGCAGTTTCCACTTTTGGTGTTGATATCTATTACACTACTCAATAAAAAGCATTTATTGTCTAATGAGATAAATGGGAAGAATGAATTTCTGTTGAAGTAATTGTGCTTTTTTTTAATTCCAGGAAATTCTGGTCTTGTCAAAGAATCTTACATTTAATGTTCATATATATATATATATATATATATATATATACATATATAATGGGCAATTAGTGAAACCCTAACAAAAGTGAAAATCCTAGGAAAACAAAAATTGATTTTTATAGTAAAAATACTGGCAATACATTTTCGAAAAAAAATTCCCAACAATGCATTTTTTTAATGAAGTTACCAGCAATACATTTGTATAAAACAATTATTACAAGCAATACATTTTTATAGCAAATGACAATCTATACAACACTAAAAAAGTATAAAAATACATTTTTATCTTAAAATTACCAGCAACACATTTTTAAAAAAAATACCAACAATATATTTTATGATCTACAAACTGTACATCTAAAAAAATATATATGTTTACTCTGAAAGTAAAAAATTATGTACAAAATATCTGTAGTTGAAAGGCATACAATTGCATTCAAAATATATTTAGTTGAAGGTATATAAGCCTGGATGTGTGGGTGGTGTAATGGATAATGGCTCAGAATTGTTAATCGGAGAGCTACACCCTTGTGTAAATTAACTAACACAAAACGAATCATTCCGTTATTATTTAGTATTTTTTTTTTGTATTTTCCCAATGAAACATGACCCAGTGCACATGTTAGTACTTCATATGTCCATTCCTTGCAGATTGACCACAGATTCTTGATTGGATTTAAATCAGGAGAGTTTCCGGGCCAGTCTATAGTACTTTGATTTGCTCACTGGTAAGGCTTGCCAGTGTGTTCGTGCAGCGTTACAATTTTCATACGCTTCCTTGACGTAACATCCATCACAGACAGTGGCCATAGGACAACTAATTGACAGTTGAGACAATAGTGTCTAAGTGTGATGAAAATCTGATGCAATCATGGATGACACAATATTTTTCAAGGCCAAACAAATTTCATCATACATCCCGAAAATAGATTCATATTACTGCACACCACTGCAAATGACTTAATCTGAGGAAAATAGAAATCAATTACACCCTGTCACTCCAGTGGGTCTAAAACTGATTGTATGATGAAAGAATGGAAACTAAAGCAGTTGTTTCAATTAATTTGCACAAGAATGTAAGTTCCAGTTCTGGTTGGGTTCGTTATATTCACCTATGTGCAAATACCTGTGTGAAAGATATGGATCCACTACTTTTCCCTGAAGCTGCGGGTTAAAAAGTAAGACTTGCATCACTAAACCATCATTATTTCAAAAAAAAATAAATAAAATTGCATACAAAATATTTAGATTTTGGTATTAAATAACCCATAGAGGTGTTGATATGCTGCTGAACAAAAACAATCAACCCAAAAGTCTTCTAGCTCCTTGAATCCTGTCCTTTTGTTCTCCTAAATAATATTTTTTCCTTGGGTTCTTTCACACTCAGTAACCCCTTGCATCTTAGTGGCTTTATTGCCTTGCTTGGGGTGAAATGATAAAAAAAATTGCTTGTAGATAATTTTCATTTACTGCATTTGCAAATAAAACATTTTTTTTTTTTTTTTTTACCTGTTATTATTATATTTCTTTGTTTTTTCTTTGTCGTGTTTCTCAAAGGTGAACGGTTTCTATGGTGCACGGGGAGCAGCCGGTGCCATTCCATATTTATATACCCAAGTTGCTCGACAGTTCCACCAACAGCTGTGTGCATTCCAGCAGAAGAAACGTATCCAGCTCTTTGAGTATTATCGCAGCAAGTGGACGTTCCATGTCAAAGGTCTTTGGTATTACGTCGACAGGGATCCTCTACCAAGCCTCACTCTCATTGGTTCATCAAATTTTGGTAGGTACTGAAATAGAATTTCTTCTTTGCTAAAATTGAACATTAACTTTTTATTGATTGTTTGAATCAATTTGATTCCAGAGAGAAAGAAAGAGTCTTCATCTTTGTCTTGAACAATGTTTCAGTCCATGCATTATTCAGTCTTTCTCAGGTTAAGTTTGTGAAAGAAATATATAACATGACTTAAATCAACTGGTCCACTTGTAAAAAATGGAATAAAGCAATGGATTTTTTTTATGTTAGGGTCCCAGCTAGGGATAAATAGCTAACCCACAAACTAGTCAAAACACTATGAAAGTGTAAAAATAGGTTTTAATACCAGAAATACTTTGTAAAAAATTATTACCAGCAATAAATTTTTGAAAAACAAAAAAATTATTACCAACAATACTTTGAAGAAAAAATTATTACCAGCAATAACAATTTTGTTGGCATTAAATAATCTATTCAGGTTGATATACCATAAAACAAACCAAACCAAAATCTCTTGGGTATGTTTTTTTTTTTTATCCAGGAATTAGGGTAAGTAAATAAGCATTGTTATGATGGTTGAGCTCAAGTCTGCCTTGCACAGAGTTGGAACAACCAAAGAAAGGTTTATACCTAAATTTTCTTAAAATAAGTCACATAGAAACATACAAATCAATAATGTAAACACAATTTCAAACCAGAACTGATAACTCTTTATGAAGCCAGGGATTGATTAAACACTAAATTTATATTATTATTATTATGAACTATATTTATATTATGAACAGGAACTTAAATTGATAAAAAAATAAATATATTTCTGTATAAAATATTTTTAAATTGTAAGAAAAAAAATTTTTTTTTTTTTTAAATAATAATGGTTTAGTAATACAAGTCTTATTAATTAACGTATAGCTGGAGGGAGACGAGGTGGATTCATACCTCTTCCACAATATTTGCATGTAAGTGAATATAACAAACCCACCGAGAATTTGAATTCTGCTCTCTGATTAACAATTCTGAGACATTATGCAGTACACCCAAGCTTACCTAGTAATTCCAAACTGTTTCCCATCAAGATACTAACCAGGCTTGACATTGCTTAACATTGGCAATTATATGGAAACCAGTTTTTGATTATCTCAGTCATTATCAAGAACAATTTTCAGCTATTATTAAGACCTAGGTGTTGTCAGTATGGAGGTGGAGGTGAATAAGATTTTGTTGGCGACATCCCAGCATTTTTTGTAGGTATCATGATAAACATTTATTTCCCAAGGGTATTTACGTGTAAGGGAATATAATTAACACAGTGGCAATTGGAACTTGGTTCTCTGATTAACAATCCTGAACCATTATCCATTACACTAACCATTATGGCTCTTAATAGCCTAGTGGATTAAATCATTGGTTTGTGAATTTAGTGACATAGTGATTGTGAGTTCAATCCCTGGGATGCACTGTGTGTACTTAGAATCAGTGGAAACAGAGCAAGCAATAATTGAGCAGTACTAAAAACAATAACTTGGGATATCTCTAGATGTGGGCAGTGGAATAAGAACAATTTACCCCTGTAGATTAAATAAAGGTTTAAGTTTGGAATTTCCTATAGGTTACCCAGATTGATATATACCTGGTGAAGGCCAGAGGGCACAACTGCTGAAACATTGTGATAACAACAACAAAGATAAGGATCATAGTCTGCATGAATCGTCTAAATAACAATATTTTTTTTATTCTGACAAATGTTACAGGTTAAGAAAATTATTCCCTGTCCAATTTTTCTTTGTTCTTTTTGTAAATGGACCACTTAATTTAAGAAGTGCCAAAAATCATTTTATAAAATTAACTTTTGATATGAATAAATTTGTTTTCTTGGATCGGTTGATATTTCTGGAGAAGAAAGAAATGTTGCTTAACTCAAAAGCTGAAAAATTATCTAATTTTAGCCAGTCTATTCCCTGCCCAATTTTTTTGTTCTTTATAAATGGACCCTTAATTTAAATAGTACCAAAATCATTTTATAAAATTAACTTTTGATATGAATAAATTTGTTTTCTTGGATCGGTTGATATTTCTGGAGAAGAAAGAAATGTTGCTTAACTCAAAAGCTGAAAAATTATCTAATTTTAGCCAGTCTACAAAAAATTATTCCCTGCCCAATTTTTTTTTGTTCTTTATAAATGGACCACTTAATTTAAATAGTACCAAAAATCATTTTATAAAATTAACTTTTGATATGAATAAATTTGTTTTCTTGGATCGGTTGATATTTCGGGAGAAGAAAGAAATGTTTTAACTCAAAAGCTGAAAAATTATCTAATTTTAGCCAGTCTACAAAAAATTATTTTTTTTTGTTCTTTATAAATGGACCACTTAATTTTAAATAGTACCAAAAATCATTTTATAAAATTAACTTTTGATATGAATAAATTTGTTTTTTCTTGGAATTGATATTTCTGGAGAAGAAAGAAATGTTGCTTAACTCAAAAGCTGAAAAAATTATCTAATTTTAGCCAGTCTACAAAAAATTATTTGCCCCAATTTTTTTTTGTTCTTTATAAATGGACCACTTAATTTAAATAGTACCAAAAATCATTTTATAAAATTAACTTTCTGTTATATAGGAATAAAGTGTCACTGCTGATACTTTAGTTTGAACATAGATTGTCAATGAACAAACACAGGCGATCCCATTATTAAATTAAGTAGACCCCCTGACCATAGAGGAAAGACATATAGGAAGTTGCATGACGTCTAAACAATTGATATTTCTAGTCTATCCTCTATTACTATTCAAATCTGCATTTCTACTTTATCCTCTATTACTATATGGACGTCTATTCTCTGCACTATTTTTCTATTCAGATAACTATACTGCTTACTATTCGAGCGAGCACTATCAAGCAAGTACTGTTAGTGCTATTTGAAAACATCTGACACCAGTATTGTTCAATGGCATTACTATAATTGTATCTGCGATTACAAAGTCTCTACTGTAATGAGCATTACAAAAGTGACAACAAGTATTCATTGACATCACAAAACTTTTGATGTGAATAAATTTGTTTTCTTGGATCGGTTGATATTTCTGGAGAAGAAAGAAATATTGCTTAACTCAAAAGCTGAAAAATTATCTAATTTTAGCCTATAAGAGAAATAAGACTTGCTGTTAGCGTTTTTAATAAAATGGGGAAAAAACATTTTAAAAAAATAGCATTTTGAATGAAAAACAAAAAATAATAATTGGATAAAAAAGTATGATTATAGCTTACTTGGTAATCAGAATAAAGATAATTCAAATAATTAGAATGAAAAAAAATCAATAATTCAAGGCTAAATCAATAAGATTGATTTGTATCAATGAGTCAGTGAAGTGAACCAGGTTAATTGGAACAATCGAAACAGGAAGTCAGATGGATATTGTAGATTGTAAGAAAGCCGATTGCATGCAGAAGATGAGCACTAATCGTAATAAAATGTAAATTCCCAATTAACAAGACTTTCAAGCATTACTCTGAATGTTGCAACAGTCTACTTAAAGGCGTAACAATTATTTGATGCACTCAGAGATTACAAACATGAATGCACTTCTCTGTTGATTTCTTGATAATATTACCCCTGAAATAAAGTGAGTTGTCTTCTAAATACTTCTCATTATATTGAATTCTGGAGAAAATATATTCCGCACAAGTTGAGAGTGTTTTGAAGAAGGGACGAAAATAGAATTTCTACTCCTTTCAAAAAGACAACAGCTTAAAATAGTTTTTCTTGTTTATCAACTATGATAAAAACAGTATCTTGCTCAATAAACTAAATGACAGCACTTCACCAGACAATAGAAAAATATTCACTGAGGAGAAATTTCAGTAAACTTAAATAATGGCTAAAAGTTAAATCCACTCCACTTAGGAAGGGAGACCCTGCTTAGAACACATCCATTAAGCTGAGGAGTGGGAATCTAATATCTTTGTAGCCAAAGATGGTGAGTTCAATCTTTGGTAGGACTACAAGAGTCAGCATAGTTAACAAAGTGTAATGAGACTTTGATCATTTGGAAATTAAAATTTACATCACTTTACATTTGGGGATGTTTTTGTTTCTTTTGTTAAATTTTTCCTTCTTATTACAAACATTAAAACTGACATATTTTATTGAAAAAAAAGGGGGCAAACAATAATTCCATGGTAGCAAACCAGAACAAGACTATATCACTTGACAGTGGAATGAGAAAAAAATCTACCTCCATAGATTAAATAATGGTTTTCACTTCAAAATTCCTTTAAGGTTACCTGGATAGATTTGATTTGTTTTACGGTATATCATACTCAATGGGTTATTTAATGCTGATGAGATTTTTATAATAGATTCGTATGAATAAAATATATATTATTTGTAAGAAAACAGTTTGTAAATCCAGTTTCATTGATATATTTTTGTAAAGAGAGTTGTTGTTGAGAGTCTGCTTTCATTGATGTATTCTTTTCAGATACATGGTTTGTAGAGAAATTGATTTTGACATTCTCATTTGGTTTATAATTTTTGGTAGAGTCCTACTGTTTTGAAAAATGATATTTTATAATCCACTTTTACTTTCTCGAACAGCTCGTACATATTGCTTATATTATAATATTTTGTTTTAAGAGAGCAAGATCTGAGTAATCGGTAAATATATATTTAATAGTATATGCTGTTTTACATGCTTGGCATACTGGTTGATCTTCTTTGTTTAGTAAGTGGGTTATTCTTGTAATGCTAATGCGTATACAGACAAGTACCACTTCTTAATGAGATGTTCTGAGAGCTGACTTCTATTCTTCCTAGTTTGGGCTGAACTGCAAAGGTTTAGTTTGGTTTATTTTGCTTTATGGCATATCAACCTCAATGGGTTATTTAATGCCGACAACATTTTTAGGATAGATTCATATGAATAGAATATGTATTCTTTGGTTTAGATTGGTTTGGTTGATTTTGTTTTATGGCATATCAACCTCAATGGGTTATTTAATGCTGATAAAATTTTTTATTGCTGGTGATATTTCGTTTTGTCAAAAATCTATTTCTCATAATATTTTTTCTTCCAAATTGTATTGCTGGTAATGATTATTTTCAAAAAAGTATTGCTGGTAATAGTTAACTATTTGCCTATAGCTGGGACCCTAACAAGTGCTACCACCCCAGGTCAGGGTGGGCCTGGGAACACCAGCAATTAAGAGATGGTTCCATGCTCCTCAAAACCTCCTGATCAGAAGCCTTGCTGCTGGACGTAGTTTATCATCTTACCAAGGACGCAGACGTAGTTTAACGTCTTACCCAGGATGAGACTCCAGTTTGGGAGTTAAGTATTTACCTATAGCTGGGACCCTAACAGGTGTTACCACCCTGGATCAGGGTTGACCTGGGAACACCAGCAATTAAGAGGTGGTTCCACGCTCCTCAAAACCTCCTGATCAGAAGCCTTGCTGTCGGATGTAGTTTATCATCATACCCAGGACGCCTGAACTGCAAAGAATTTATTGTGTGTGTTATCATCCCAATACGATTGCCATTCCTTTTGAATGTATTTATTGATAACCAACTTAAAATCTGTGTACAGGCTTTTTGGTCCTTGTATCCACATTCATATCTAAAGCTGACTTGCCTTCTTCATTATTACCTTTAACTCTGATAAGTATCTAGTATAGTTTGATGTCTTTATGCTTGGTAATAGTGCCTATTTTGAATAATATTTCCGTAAGTGGGTTGTTAATTTTTTTTCCTTCAAAGCCAATAAGATGGATAGTGTATCTGAAAAAATAAAAAAGTTTTTTTGTTTGCTCTCCGCCTGGATAGAGAAACACCTTAAGGCCACATCATGTTGAAACATTGAATCACCAAAGTAGAGAAATGTGATTCTATAAACAAATCCTAAGAATACCAGGAACAGAACATGTCACTGATAATCTTTTTGAATTGTTTGTTTAATGACATATCAACTCCTTATGGGTCATTTAATGCTGAAGTTTAACTTAAATATTTTGAACACAATTTTATGGCTTCAACTAAATATATTTTGAATGCAATTGTATACCTTCACTACAGATAAAATGTATTGTTGGTGAATTTGCTATAAAAATGTATTTTAAGACATTTTTATGTTTATACATTCTTTTTATAGATACAAATATTTAAGCAAATGCTCTGTTTATAATAAACAGTATTAAACAACATTTACCAGCCTGAATGTCCGAGAAATTTTCACAGAAAATATTCATCCTCTGACAGGATTCAAACCTGTATCCTATACGGAACTGTCATTTAGCTTGATGTGCCTTTACCAATTTGGCCACATAGGAGTGTTCAGTTAGCAAGGTCAAATTTACTGTATTTAAACTTCAATCTTTCATGAATCTATTGTGTACATTCATGTCTGCTCATGGCGTATCAAATGTAAACAAATGATGTCACACATTATGAAATGGACAAAGTCCGTCAATTATTTTAAGATATTTTTATGTTTAACATTTTTATAGATACAAATATTTAAGTAAATGCTCTGTTTATAATAAACAGTATTAAACAACATTTACTGGGCTGAATGTCCGAGAAATTTTCACAGAAAATATTCGTCCTCTGACAGGATTTGAACCTGTATCCTATATGGAACCGTCATTTAGAAGTTTAAATACAGTAAATTCAACCTTGCTAACCAAACGCTCCTTCATTGCCAAAAGGCACATCAAGCTAGCACAGACTCTAATATGAGTAATATTTTGTCCTTTTCATGCAAATTTAGCTGTGGTCTCAATGTGTTTCACTTAAATTGTACCCAATGGGTTCCACTTAAACAGAATTGATATTTATAAAATTCCTTAAGATGAAAAAATGACTTTCTGTATTTATGAAGATTTTCATCTCCAAGTTCAAAATCAGTTACTGAGTTAAAGATAGTATATTAACACTCGATCATTGAAGTGCTTGTTTAAATAATCGTTTTTGATGTATTTATAATCGATTCTTTTTCAGGTTATCGTTCTGTTTATCGAGATATGGAATGCCAGTTGGCCTTAGTTACGAAAAATGAATCCCTGAGACAGCAACTTCGAGAGGTAAAAAAAAAAAATATTTGAATCATCCTCACTCTGTTTATTGTTCTTTTTTTCTCTTTAAACTCTCTCTTCCATCTTGTTTGCAGCTTATGAGGCAACAAAGGAATAACATCACTTGACACATTCATTGTTGAGTTTCTATAAGAAAATCATGTGTTTACTCCATAACCACTATTAATCTGGGTTGGTCAGTCGGTGGACTATTTTTTTTTTCCTATCATGACTATTTCTCATGGAAGAATCAATTCAATGAGAATCAATAAATAATGTTCCCATAAAAAATCTCACATGGGTTCTGTGTAATTTAACTGTTTCCATGGCAACTGTGCACTTTTGAAAACAGAGACATGGGAATTTTGGCAAAGAGAAATGGGCAATGTTTTACCTTCGTGCCTGCAAAAAAAATGGTTTGTCAAAAGGATGGTTATTCCCTTGACACCTCTATTACTGTATACACTTTTGACTCCCTCAGCAATGTTTATTGTTTTTTCAAAAAGCAATGATTAAAATTTTACTAAAATCCAAACATATGAAAGTGTATTTATACATTTTCTTTATTCTTGAGAATTGACTACAAAGATATTAAATACTATTATGAACAAAAACTTGTTTTCATAGTTATTTATAAAATGATAAATAATAAATATTGCATTGTAGTTGGTTTACATATTTTAATAATTTTGTAATATTTTTAATAAATTTTTGACTAAAAAGATTTCTTTTCACATTTATTGCTTTATAAAATGCTAAATAATAAATCTTTATAAAATGGTAAATAATAAATATCACATTGTACTTGGTTCATATATTTTATAATCTTGTAAATAAACATTACTGAAGGAGTCAAAAGTCTATACAAATAATAGCAGTGTCAAGGGAATAACCATTTTTTTGACACCGTTTTTTTGCAGCTATAAAGATTAAAACTTGTTGAGAAGTGGTACCAAAATGCAGCTGAGACATTGTTTTTCATTTTCAAGTATGTTTAGGTAAATTATCTCATTTGCATACTCATGAATATTAATTAAAATTGACATTATTTACAGTTGGATTACTGTCATCATTTTTTTAAATGATTTCTTAACAGTACAAAATGTAATACCAGTTCTTGTACAATCACCAAAGTTAAGCAATGTTGAGCCTGGTTAGTACCTAGGTGGGTGACCATTTGGGTGTGCTGGTGGTGTAATGGATAATGGCTCAAAATTGGAAATCAGTGTACTGAGTTCCATTTAATGAACCCTGTTGGTATTGGAACTCGGCTCTCCAATTTTCAATTCCAGGTGGATGTTCACTTATATAGCCTTTGGAAATGTATGGATTCACCACTTCTCACCCTACCTGTAGGCCTTGTAGTAGTAAATCCCTTATTAGTAGGCCTTGTATCAATAAATCCCTTATTAGTTCCAAAAAATTCTTAAAATCTAAATTATTATTCTGGATTTAAATAATCCAAGGTTGATAAGTCATAAAAAACAATCAACAGTACAAAAATTTATATTATGAAAAAGTGAAGACAAAAAGAAAATCAATCTTTTTCGTTTTGTCTGAGATGACAGCGAACTTTTAAACTGTTTCCACTCGTTTTTGGTGATAATCCTGTTCCACTTTGGTAAATGTTGATCAAAAACATGGCCGCTTAAGAGGAATTACCTCCTCCCACTTTTTTTCTTACAGTAGCTGTTAACACATCTCTGCTTCTTCATACTATATAATCCTCTTTATTGTCATTATTACATCGTTTCAGTCGTTCTCTCCTCTGGTCTTGTTCAGCTGTCTGTTGGTCTTCAGGGAATTTCAGATTAAACCCTTTATTTAATCTACAGCATCTCTCCCAGAATATCTACCATTTTTGGTGGAAGGAAATCTTCTGTCTACAAAGAAATCTATTTACAATGCTAATATAAGAAAATTTGGAAAATTTCTAGTTTGACATGTTTCTCTGATGAAATGGCATCATCAGAAAAGAGAAATTAATTCCACAAAATCTACATTTTTTTTTTTTTTTAATCATTTCACTCAGGGCTGATGCAAGGGTCTTGTGTACCTCCACTGAATCTATGATATAACCCCCCCTGCTCTACTGCATCTCAATTGTCATAAGGTTGTATTTATAAAAAATACAAATTTTATTGTAACCTAATTATGCACAATTATGGATCATATGCAATATAGGTGAATAATTCAACTAGAAAAATTGGAAATAAATACAAAGCTATCTAAATACAAGTTAGACATGTCATAATAGATCATTCCATCTTAAATAAAACAACAATATTTTGTGGCAGTTTTTAACATGAACTTGAAATTTTTCTTCTTAAAAAGTGGAATAATTTTAATTTTTAACACATTCCGCATTATGGATAAAAAATAGGAATTTTTTTTTTTTTTTTTTTTTTTTAGACTTTGCATGAGCAAAACTAATTCACAGATTTGGACATAAAAAACATAATGGCTTCAAAAACTGGGAAAATTTTTTATTCTTTAATAGTTGTGCTTAGTTTATGTCCATAAAACAACCCCATTCATTAACTCTCTACCTTGAATGGCTCTTGGGCCTTGTATTCGGTAAACCAAACACTCCCTATATAGGGACAATGTTTTGAGGTCAGTGTTACACATCACATTGGTTTACATAATTTTACTCAAAATGATAAGTAGCAACAAGTCATTGCAAATAATGGTGAATATAATATATATATAATATACTATATGTAATATATAATATAACATATATAATATAATATGATATATATAATAATATATATAATATTATATAATGTATATATAATTGAGTACAATGTAATTTTACTTCAGTTTTTTGAACAATAAATTTGATAATCAAAAACGGAAGTTATTAATGACTTAATAATTATAGGCACGTACCATACAGTGGAGTAATGGATAGAAGCTCAGAGTTCAAATTTCAATTGAAACCATTACATTCACTTATATGCTAATAGCCTTGGGAAAGGTATGAATACTCTTCTTCTCCCCTAAGGTATGGGTAAATCGCAGGACAGATTGAGTTCTATAGCCTTGGGTCTAACGCAGAATGAAATGGTAACCTACTTCAGGGAAAAAATCTGCCTCGGCAGTCATGTATTGAAAGATATATGATCGCCTAAGCATGTATCATGTATGGCACATAACTGACTGACCATAATGTAATGCTTAACAAGCTTGTCCCATTATTTGTCTGTGCAGTGAGTTCAAAAAACCTACTGTAATGTAATGGTTAACAAGCTTGTCTTATTTGCTTGTGCAATGTGTTCAAGCCTTACAGGGTGCCTTCTTTCTTTGGTCATGAGCGTAAATGATTTAGAGTTCTTGCTTTATCATAATGGCTATTATAGTAATCTCTAACTGCATTGGCCTTGTGCCAGACTAATTCTAAAATGAGATGTTTCTTTTTTTCCTTTCTTGATCGCTTCCAATAAATAAAGTCAAGCCATCTAAGAGTTCAGTGACTCAGACCAAATGGCTTGACCACATTCCAGTGGCGTTTCTGTCAATTTGCCAAATGCCGTCTGCTCACCATCTGTCTATGGGCAGCTCTTAAGTGAGCCAGTCAATAAAACTGGCAGTCATCGGCCATTTTAATGCTATCACTGGCAATTATCAGCCATCATTTATTTGACAGAGCAGCTACCATTTTAACCTAGAGCTGTTTAGCCTGCATTCACAATTTCATTAACACTATTATTGCTAATGATATCTTAAATGTAAATAATTTTTGCAAATACTTTTTAAAAAAGCTATCATTAAAAATTTCATATAAGAACAGAACCAATGGAAATTCAATAGTTACAATGCTGTAATATAATACTAGCTGAAGTACCCTTCTACACTGTGTAAAAAGTCAAGATTGAAGATTACGCAAAAGCATTTGATAAAATACACCACAAAGATATGTTAGAGATACTCAGCAACCTTGATGCTATTGGAAAAGACATTAGAATAATCAAGAATTTATACTGGCAGTAAACCACCTGCATATGAACAGAAAACTGGTTCAACAGATATATAAAAATAGAAAGGGATATAAGACAAGGATGTGTCTTCACACTGGATTTATTCATCCTATACAAGGAGGTGAATCTGAAAGAATTAGAAGCCCTATCAGGATTCATTATTGACGGCCACACTCTTAAAAATATAAGACATGCAGATAACGCAGTGTTGATATCAGATAGAGAAAGGAAATTGTAGAAACTCCGAGAGAATGTAGTAAAATCAAGTTAGAAAAAAAACAACTAAATATCAATTGTAAGAAGGTAAAATGTAAGGTTGCTCGCAAAAGGAACAGCCCAAGTTGTCAACTAGAAAATGGAGACATCAGAATCAAGAAAGTATGAGAATGTAAATATCTAGAAAATGTTTTAACAGAACATGAAAAATGTAACACTGAAATCTGATGGCTTGTTGGAATAGCAAAAGACGTCTTCCAAAAGCTAAGAAACAGGAAAAATTTATTAAAAACAAAAAAAAACAGTGCTGAACTGTTATGTAATATCAGTCATCCTATATAGAAGTGAATATTAGATAATTTCCTCACAGATGAAGAAGAAGACTTGAAGCAACAGAAATATGGTTCAACAGAAGGATGCTGAGAATTTTATGAACTGAACAGAAAATGGAAACAAAAAGAACGCATACTTAGAAAGCGATAGTTGAAATTTTTTAGGCATATAATTTAATAGCATATCAACTCCTTATTGGTCAATTAATACTGAAATTTAATTTTATTTTACAAAAATCTATTGCTGGTATTGACGACCACAATCTTAACAATATAAGATATACAAATGACACAGTGTTGATAGCAGATATGGAAAGAAAACTATAAAAACTCTGACAAAAAATGCAAATTACAAATCGGGGATAGTAAAATCAAACAAGCACAGAAATTTAAATATCTGGGAAGTGTTCTGCCAGAGGACATTGAGATCCAAAGACATATTGTGATGGCCAAAGATGCATTCCAAATTCTAAGCAGA